AGTATATGTGATGTAGAGCCGAACATCCTATGCGGTGGGGTGTGCGTGCACACACACAACAAAACAAAAACACCCACACCATGTGAGTCTCTTCAACTAGCTTTAATTTGATATGAAATCACCAAATGTTAATTTTTTGAACTTAGAACCTACTTTTATAGGCTATTGAAATCTTAAAATTGTTAATTTAAATTACGGCCAGTTCAGTGTTGTTTCTAGACTAATTCTGCTTATTTTTTTTCTAAGAATCAGTTGATTATGGTGTTCGGTAAAATATTTTTTTATTATGTTTATTGAAATTCATTATGCTTCTAAGGGGTTGCTTTTAGAAGTAATGTGATGGTGTTTTTAAAGTTTTCTCATCTATTTTGTTACCTAATATTATACTGTTTTGGTCATTTTTACTTATAATGATTTTAAAGCACATCTTTACTAAACACTTCAAATACTTTTGAAAGCAACTTATAATATGTGATTTCCAAAGAACAATTTTTCAAAACAGCGCTATTTTATTTTTTTTTATTTTTAAAATCGACCCATTTTTTTATTTACCAAAACCGACCCGTTTTTTGCCATGTCAGTCTAATCACTCTCCTAAACAGTCGGGGTTGTCAATCCCGACTATTTAGGAGAGTGTTAAACCCTAATTAGAAGTCTTAAACCTTAAAAATTTATGTCCTAAATAGTCAGGGTTAGCAACCCCCACTGTTTATGTAAACCGCTTATACCGACAACTTATCATAAGCTCCAAGACACTAAACCCATCCCTTAGACCTTCACCTTACTTGCAAGTCTTTGACATTACTTCAAGCAAGTTAAATAATTTCAGTCTTATTTGAGAAAATCAACATCTATAATTCTGTATAACCCCAGAAAAAACAGTAGTCCGAATGTTCTCAGGCCTCAAAGCGTGAACCTAACCTGAACCCGAACTTAAAACACCCAACCCGCGTGCGCACTCACGTGACACTTTCACCCAGTAAAAGCCGACCCGTACAACGCGTCACGTGACTTTTAACCCTAATCGAACCTCTGCACCTATAAAAGCCACACCAGAGGTTCGGAGCACCCGCAGCCGCAGCTTGTTCCCCTCTTCCCAATGTATAGTCTTTAAAAAAAAAAGGAAAAATCTACAACTTGCATTATTTTTTATCAATTATATCAGAAAATTTTGGCTCTCCACTCTCTCTCTCTCTTCAGGTTTGCTTTTTTTTTTTTCACTTTGTTTTATTAAATAACATGATTATTATAGATAGTTATATTTATGGGGTTCATGCAGTGATGACTCTTGTTTACAACGAAAGAAGCGTTGCTATCTTTTGATAAGCATGCGATGTTGTTCGCTTCCATGACTCTGATGCATGCCTCTTGCCCCTGCTACTATTATTTATTATTTTTTTCATTTTAACATAAAATTTGGAAATGTAAAAAAACCAATTTTACAATTTTCAAACACGTTGCTACTTGAATCTAGATCAAATAATTGTATTATCGATAAAAGAATGGTATATTAGACTTGAAGTCACTGTAAAACAAAACATTTTTTTAGTATGTAACACCATTCTATATCAGATTTGGGGGGAAAAATTATTGTATTATAAAATTTACTAAAAAATCCTTGTAATTAACTTAAAATGGGGAGATTTCTATAATTAAAAGTGAATGTGGTCGATTTCTTAAAAAAAAAACCCTTTGAGACGATTTTGAAAATTTCTTCGTACTTATTTTTATGCTTACTTTCTATCTGATGAATGATCATTCCATGAACTAATTAGGATGCAAGGACACATTAAAAGTTTAGGCAAAACAAGGATGCAATTGTGCAGCAATTGAGATTAAATTCTAATAGAACTAAAAAATAATTTTAAAATTAAGGTTTGTGATAACCAATAGTGTAGAAGAAATAAAGCTAACTAGCACTTAAATACCTCATAGATTCACCCACTTTGCACTTGGATAGAGTGTTTTTAGGAGAGGGGAAGGGGAGGGTTTTTTTTATACCCGAAGAGCATCTCCAATGGTACGTCATTCCTCTAAAAATGACGTATCATTGGCTCCAATGAGGGTCTGCAGCACCCTCTATATTAAGAGGGTTCTACAGTAACCCTCTATATTTGAAGGGTTTAGACTTAAATAAATGGATTCTTATAAAATATTATTCATATATTTTAATTTTAATTTTGCTCTCCCAACTCATTTATAACTTTTCATAAATATCAATTGTATCCTTGAATATAATTAAACTAATTATTTAACTTAATATAATTTTAAATTTACTCGTCTATTTTAAATAATAATTATATCATTAAAATTGTTTTGTAGAAACTTTCAAAATGAGACTAATAGTTAATACTTTTAATATTAATTTCAAATTTATCATTATGAAATGTTGAAGTACAGAGAATTTAAAATACATTAAGCTTAAAAAAATTATAATCTCCTACCAACTTCTCATCAAGTCGACTCGTTGGAAGAAAGGCAGAAAAGGCGAAAAGAAAGATTCTTCCCCATCTGAGTGTGATGTTGATATTCTTAAAAATATCATAGAAATGCAGGAAAAACATGAGTTTGGAAGGAAAACCATGCAACAACTAATGATGATGAAATTAGAAAATGATAAGAAAAAATTAGATCAACGAACTATACAATTAGAACAATACAATCAACTCTTGGCTCAACAGCGTGAGCAATTTCGTTTTGAGCGTGATTGTGAGGATAAAGAAATACTATCAATTGATTTGAGTAAGATTGTTGATGTAAGAGAACGTGCATTTTTTGAGAGGAAAAAACAACAAATCATTTGCAGAAATAGCCTTGATTTTTAATTTGATAGTTCAACTCATGTTTCAGGAGGAACTAGATATTGAGGTCTGTCAGGGTATCAGTACGGCACCAGTAGCTATGGAAATGACCTATCGAAATTTTAGATTACTATAACCGTATTTTACTTATATAATGTAATTTTTATATTTCTGGATGTAGTTCCTTTGGGGCGGATTATGTAGATCCCTACGTATTTGTTTTATTAATGAATATTTTTATTTTATTATATTAAAATAAACTAATTTAAAAATGACGCTAAAAGTATTCAATATTAATCTCATTTAAAAGGTTTCGACGAGACGGTTCTGAAGGTATAATTTTTGTAAAAAAATGTTAAGTTTTAATTATTTTATTTACATCATTTGTTTGTTAAAGATAGATTAAGTAATATAAATATAGAGGGCACCATTGGAACACAATTTTTACAAACCCTCATATTCTCTTCAAACCCTCTAAATATAAAGTATACCATTGGAGATGCTCTAACACTGGGTTTGTGGAGTATTTTTTAGGAGGGAGAGAGCGAGATTACAATTAACCCTCCTAAAATTGTTTTTATTTACGCTTTTCCCAGTAAGGAGAGAGCTAAAAAGTATAAAATTTATCTACTTTCTTAAATCTAATGAAACTTTAAGATTGTCCTATGAGAAAACTAAAATGCATAATTAATCAAATTGTTTATTATTTCTTTGGGAGGACATATTGGTTAAATAATTTCCATTCTCTTTTCATCGTCTCTAAACAAAACATATTATATTTGTACCCTCCTCTTCTCTTATTGTCTATCCAAATATAAAGGATATCTCACTCCGTCTCTTTGTGTTTACTTCAACCATTCTTCTCCCCTCCCTTCCTTCGCTTTCAAAACGATTGTAAGTTGTTTATAACGGCACTTTGATCCCCACTATCATGCAAATGTTAATATTTTTACCCGAATATACCCATACTTATATGCTAATTATAGATCTTTCTGATCATTAATATTTCGCTAAACCTATCCCAACTTTATTTTAAAGTAGATTTAAAAGATGTTTAAAATAGAATTTTGATAGATTTAATTGTAAATTTAAGAAACATTAATTTTTAAACTGCACTATAATTAGAATATAAGTATCATAGTAAATTTAAGAAATATTAATACTTAAATATGAATTGCTAAATAAGTGCTATTTAGCTGAGAAATGAAGCAATTGTGTGCG